TGCTACCTGTAAGAGAGTCCCGTCTAGATATAACTGTGGTATTAATTTTGCTGATGTTGCTACCTGTAAGAGAGTCCCGTCTAGATATAACTGTGGTATTAATTTTGCTGATGTTGCTACCTGTAAGAGAGTCCCGTCTAGATATAACTGTGGTATTAATATGCTTGTTTTGTATATAATATGATTTATGTTTTGTGTACATTTATTTTAATTCCCACTTATTGCAGTACAATTCTACTTCGTTTAGTAGTGGTTGTATATTCTACGTTGTTAGGTTTAGGGCACTCTTGATGACTGTAACATCATCTTCGAACTGTGAGCAAAAAGTGTGGTTTGGGTCTTTGAGAGGCATGTCGCTGACATACATGATAAACAGTGTAGGGTCAAGTGCTCCTCCTTGAGGGACACCCGCCTCCGGAGTGCAGCACTCGGAGTATGTGCCCTCAACATTCACTTTGATACTTCTATCGTCCAGGAAGTTAGAAACCCAGTTAATAATTTCTATGGAGAGTCCCAATTTGGACAGTTTGTATCTGATTCCGTTGTGCCATGCTTTATCGAATGCTTTTTCCCATGATTCCTAGATGTTCGAGTCGTGCCTTCTCGCCTAGTAATCACCCTAAAGAAATCAATATACCTTCCATACGAGTCGTGCCTTCTCGCCTAGTAATCACCCTAAAGAAATCAGTATATCTTCCATAAGATACGTGCCTTCTCGCCTAGTAATCACCCTAAAGAAATCAGTATATCTTCCATAAGAGACGTGCCTTCTCGCCTAGTAATCACCCTAAAGAAATCAGTATATCTTCCATAAGATACGTGCCTTCTCGCCTAGTAATCACCCTAAAAAATCAGTATATCTTCCATAAGATACGTGCCTTCTCGCCTAATAATCACCCTAAAAAAATCAACCCGATATTTTACTTTCCTCGAGCGCAGGTAGATCTTGTGGTAGAACCCTTGATTTGGGAGCCTGTGACACTGGTTCGAATCCATGTGATACCATTTTCAACTGTGGATGCATTATAACAGTGTTAGTCGATCCCTTAGCGTGAGGGTGGTAGGGTGCTGCTACCCTGTAGTCAGTAATTCAAAGTTAGGGACGATGGAAGATAGCTCAAGTAACTATCGTAAACAAAAGATACAATAATGCACTTCGTGAACCCATATGAAAGAAATACGTTATGATTGGTTGAACTTTACACGAAATGATTCTACGAGCCAATCAGATTGTCCTTTATGAGCCTTATTTGATCATCTGACTTCTGTGCACGATCGCAGACAAAGTTACAACACTTAGTACTTGGAGGGTGAAACAGTTTAAGCTTCCTGGTAGAAGAAGAACACGTTAAGTGGAGCACTGTATACACAAAACGTGTATCTACTGTTCTTAGCTACTGAATGAAACTCTACAGTACCCTATGGTAGTTAGGGCGCTCGACTCGCAAGCTGTTGGTTCGAATCCCTGTCACACCGAATATGCTCGTCCTTTCAACCGTGGGGTCGTTATAATGATACGGTGAATCACAACAGTTAACACTTATATACGACCTGGCGAAAACCACAAGTTAACACTTACAGACGACCTGGCGAAAGCCACTAGTTAACACTCACAGACGACTTAGTATTTCGGACACAAATTTTCAAGACATGATGTAACTGTATACTGTAGAAACATCGTTTGTTGGCCTGATAATACTAGAAGAGAACGTCACATTGAGCCAAAACTTTTTATTACGTTCTTTGATCTTACTTTCAGATATACAAATGAAAAATATTACCAGCTATCTTTACACCTGATACTGTAGTGTTTTAGTATCTGTTTATTGTGAAAGAATAAGTCCAAAGTTCTGAGATATACACTACTCACCTCTTTCACCAGGCCACGACTGGGTCAACTTATAGATGTACACTACTCACCTCTTTCACTCAGGCCACGATTGGGTCAACTTATAGATATACACTACTCACCTCTTTCACCAGGCCACAACTGGGTCAACTTATAGATATACACTACTCACCTCTTTCACCAGGCCACAACTGGGTCAACTTATAGATATACACTACTCACCTCTTTCACCAGGCCATGAGTGGGTCAACTTATAGATATACACTTCTCACCTCTTTCACCAGGCCATGACTGGGTCAACTTATACACTACTCACCTCTTTCACCAGGCCATGAGTGGGTCAACTTATAGATATACACTACTCGCCTCATTCTCCAGGCCACGACTGGGTCAACTTATAGATGTACACTACTCACCTCTTTCACCAGGCCACGACTGGGTCAACTTATAGATATACACTACTCGCCTCTTTCACCAGGCCACGAGTGGGTCAACTTATAGATATACACTACTCACTTCTTTCCCCAGGCCATGAGTGGGTCAACTTATAGATATACACTACTCACCTCTTTCACCAGGCCATGACTGGGTCAACTTATACACTACTCACCTCTTTCACCAGGCCATGAGTGGGTCAACTTATAGATATACACTACTCACCTCTTTCACCAGGCCATGATTGGGTCAACTTATACACTACTCACCTCTTTCACCAGGCCACGACTGGGTCAACTTATAGATATACACTACTCGCCTCTTTCACCAGGCCACGAGTGGGTCAACTTATAGATATACACTACTCACTTCTTTCACCAGGCCATGAGTGGGTCAACTTATAGATATATACTACTCACCTCTTTCACCAGGCCACGACTGGGTCAACTTATAGATGTATACTACTCACCTCTTTCACCAGGCCACGACTGGGTCAACTTATAGATGTACACTACTCACCTCTTTCACCAGGCCATGAGTGGGTCAACTTATAGATATACACTACTCGCCTTTTTCATCAGGCCGCGAGTGGGTCAACTTATAGATATATACTACTCACCTCTTTCACCAGGCCACGAGTGGGTCAACTTATAGATGTATACTACTCACTTCTTTCACCAGGCCACGACTGGGTCAACTTATAGATATATACTACTCACCTCTTTCACCAGGCCACAACTGGGTCAACTTATACACTACTCACCTCCCGACGAGTGGGTCAACTTATAGATATATACTACTCACCTCTTTCACCAGGCCACGAGTGGGTCAACTTATAGATGTATACTACTCGCCTCTTTCACCAGGCCACGACTGGGTCAACTTATAGATGTATACTACTCACCTCTTTCACCAGGCCATGAGTGGGTCAACTTATAGATGTATACTACTCACCTCTTTCACCAGGCCACGAGTGGGTCAACTTATAGATGTATACTACTCACCTCTTTCACCAGGCCATGAGTGGGTCAACTTGAAGGAACGCCAACGTTTGACGACTGCGGTTTTCACCTAAACGTAGAAAACTTAAAATTAGAATCAACATGAGAGCTGCTTGAAAGCAATGATATGAAAACAACATGAGAGAGATAAGCTTGGAACTAAGAAAATTTTCAAGTCTAGATTTAAAGACACAAGGTAAACAGTGATTAAACAATTAACTAGTTTGAAGTGTTTTGCTTGTAAAAGTTATTTAACGCTAGTTTTATTCCCAGTATTGGTTAAGATACTAAACATATATATTTATACTTATCTTATTTTCACCTTTTTATTGTGTATATAACTTGTATTATTGTGATTCTCTTCCATAAGCCCAACTGATTTTGTATGTTAAATTAACTTTAGAAAATTAGTACATACACTTACAAGTAGTTGATCACAACTGTACTAGGTATGTATTTACAGATAGTTGATCACAACTGTACTAGGTATGTATTTACAGGTAGTTGATCACAACTGTACTAGATATGTGCTAACAGATAGTTGATCACTACTGAACTAGGTATGTACTTACAGTTAGTTGATCACAACTGAACTAGGTATGTACTTACAGATAGTTGATCACAACTGAACTAGGTATGTACTTACAGTTAGTTGATCACAACTGAACTAGGTATGTACTTACAGTTAGTTGATCACAACTGAACTAGGTATGTACTTACAGATAGTTGATCACAACTGAACTAGGTATGTATTACAGTTAGTTGATCACAACTGAACTAGGTATGTATTACAGTTAGTTGATCACAACTGAACTAGATATGTATTACAGTTAGTTGATCACAACTGAACTAGATATGTACTTACAGTTAGTTGATCACAACTGAACTAGGTATGTATTACAGTACATATCTAGTTCAGTTGTGATCAACTAACTGAACTACATATCTAGTACAATTGTGATCAACTAACTGTAATACATATCTAGTTCAGTTGGGATCAACTAACTGTAATACATATCTAGTACAGTTGTGATCAACTAACTGTAAGTACATACCTAGTTCAGTTGTGATCAACTAACTGTAATACATTTCTAGTACAGTTGTGATCAACTAACTGTAAGTACATACCTAGTTCAGTTGTGATCAACTAACTGTAATACATATCTAGTACAGTTGTGATCAACTAACTGTAAGTACATACCTAGTTCAGTTGTGATCAACTAATTGTAATACATATCTAGTTCAGTTGTGATCAACTAATTCACAACAGAACTAGATATGTATCACAGTTAGTTGATCACAACTGAACTAGGTATGTATTACAGTTAGTTGATCACAACTGAACTAGTTATGTATTACAGTTAGTTGATCACAATTGTACTAGATATATAGTTCAGTTAGTTGATCACAACTGTACTAGATATGTATTACAGTTAGTTGATCACAACTGAACTAGGTATGTATTACAGTTAGTTGATCACAACTGAACTAGGTATGTACTTACAGTTAGTTGATCACAACTGAACTAGGTATGTATTACAGTTAGTTGATCACAACTGAACTAGTTATGTATTACAGTTAGTTGATCACAATTGTACTAGATATGTATTACAGTTAGTTGATCACAACTGAACTAGGTATGTATTACAGTTAGTTGATCACAACTGAACTAGGTATGTACTTACAGTTAGTTGATCACAACTGTACTAGATATGTAATTCAGTTAGTTGATCACAACTGAACTAGGTATGTACTTACAGTTAGTTGATCACAACTGAACTAGATATGTATTACAGTTAGTTGATCACAACTGAACTAGTTATGTATTACAGTTAGTTGATCACAACTGAACTAGGTATGTACTTACAGTTAGTTGATCACAACTGAACTAGATATGTATTACAGTTAGTTGATCACAACTGAACTAGGTACGTACTTACAGTTAGTTGATCACAACTGTACTAGATATGTATTACAGTTAGTTGATCACAACTGAACTAGATATGTACTTACAGTTAGTTTATCACAACTGAACTAGATATGTATTATAGTTAGTTGATCACAACTGAACTAGATATGTATTACAGTTAGTTGATCACAACTGAACTAGATAGTATTACAGTTAGTTGATCACAACTGAACTAGGTATGTACTTACAGTTAGTTGATCACAACTGAACTAGGTATGTATTACAG